ATTTGCAAAATGATGAAGATGAGGAAAAAGGTGATTTTCCCATATAATCTAAATCATTAGTTTCCCCCCTTTTTTTCAAGAGATTATGATTGTGCCCATTTGGTTTTTTTTTTTTTTGTGTGTATTGTGCGCTATTGTCAAAGAATACTGCTAAATACATTCCATTAAAAGAGAGTATCATCTCAGACGTGATAAAGTAAAATAATTGAGTGTCACATTTGTGTGTGACCATGTCACCAATAGTAATAAATAGAATTTTTCATTGTCTAATCATTGATATGGTATTGAACGCACTTGTTGATTGTGAGTTTTAAGCTGGAAGGGAAGTTTAATATTTCTGCTTGATACTTCTTTTTTCATGTCTTGTTATCATGTAATTTTCCTGTTGTTTCTTTCTTTTCTTCTGCAGAAGCCACAAAGAAGAAAAAGAAGAAAAACAAAAACAAGTGAGGACTCTTCTTTTTAAGTGGGGGAAAAAAAAGTGGATGACTTTGATCTGAAAGTTGTTATTTCTCTTCATATGTTCAGGAAGAAGAAAGCCCCGTCAGAGCAGACTAGTCCACCATCTACGCTTCAACAGACTGATCCGCCGTCTATTCCTGTTAATGAGCTTTTCACTTCTGGGGAGTTTCCTGAAGGGGAAATCCAAAACTACAAAGATGAGTAAGTGATGAACTATTTTTTATGTAGCAATTTACTATAAGACATGTTTCCTTTATTTGACTCTTTGGAAGGTTGAAAACTTCGGTTTTCAATTGTCTTAAGTGGGAAACGAACAGATAATTGATAAAATTCTAGTTATCTAATGAACCGCAGCAAACTTAATCTCCGTCATCATAAATGACGATTTAGTATTCTTTTTCCAGTTTTCTCTTTAATTAAATCTCTCAACTCTCTCCCCCTGCCCCGTCTCCCGCTTGATTTTACTCTTTCTTTTCAATTTATCATTAAAAGTTTGTCTTCTGAACCAGTAACTTGTGGAGGACTACCTCTGAAGAGAAGAGGGACTTGGAGCGTCTTGAAAAACCAATATATAACTCAGTTCGCCGAGCAGCAGAAGTTCATCGTCAGGTTTCTTTTTCTTTTTTCAAAAAAAAAAAAAAAAAAAAAATTCATAATGTGAACGAATTGAATCTTAAAGGGGAAAAAGGAAAATGAATTTGTAATGGGGAAAGTGGGAGATGGATTTTACTGTAGGATCTGTTACTAGGGAGATGAATTTTAATGTGGGATTGTTTATTGGTTTTCAGGTTAGGAAATATATCAGAAGCATCTTGAAGCCTGGAATGTTAATGACTGATTTATGTGAGACATTGGAGAACACAGTCCGCAAGTTAATAGCCGAAAATGGTTTGGAAGCAGGCATTGCTTTTCCGACAGGATGCTCTTTGAATTGGTGAATGTTTTGAGCTTGGCATTTGATATTCTAATTGTTTTAGTTCTGTTCAACTATACTCAAAAGTCTCTTTCATTGGTAGGGTTGCTGCTCACTGGACTCCAAACACAGGAGATAAGACTGTGCTTCAATATGATGACGTGATGAAGTTGGACTTTGGAACTCATATTGATGGTAATCCTAGCTGTACTTTCTTTTCTTTTTTTCTCCTTTTTTTTTTTTTTTTTTTGGTTAAAGAAAAAATTCTTTTTCCTTTTCTTTTGGGGTCGTATAACGACTGTTAATTTCTTAGGTAGAAGTCTGTTACTTGGTGCTGTTTGTCTCTCTTGGCTGGATTTATCACAGGCGAATTATTGTTTGGTTTACAGGATATATAGTCGACTGTGCTTTTACTGTGGCATTCAACCCTATGTATGATCCATTGCTTGAAGCCTCTCGTGAAGCAACCAATACTGGTATCAAGGTACTGAAACTTTTGTGCATATTAGCTAATTTATCTGATCATAAATGTTAGACAGGACTCTGTTAAAATTTAAGAGTCCTCATAGAGAAACCCAAGGCATCTTCTTTATAATTATAGGCAATAATAGCAGTTTGAAACGTCAACTTAGTATGGAAACTCGCAAGTATCCAGTGTTTAGTCTTTCTTTCCGTTTCCCTCCCACCCTCTCTATATGTACTGTGATTTTGTTGCTTCTAATTATTTAGGAGTCTGGAATCGATGTTCGTCTTTGTGATGTTGGTGCTGCAATCCAAGAGGTCATGGAGTCATATGAGGTTGAAATTAATGGAAAGGTATATCAAGGTATGATATCTACCGATCCTATGATTACCCACTGCTTTTCTCTACACTGTCTGTCTCCTGTAAACATTTTTTCTTTCCACTGACTTGGAACAACAGATTCCTACACTACAATGTTCGTCCTTTTTCTCTTTTTTGGTGAATTAGCTATTTGCACCACTAAATCTACAATCTCTAATGTCTATGGGCATTTAAGTAAGACTCTGGCAAATTTTGGCAGTTAAAAGTATTCGAAACTTGAATGGACATAGCATTGGACGCTACCAAATACATGCTGGAAAGTCTGTTCCTATTGTGAAAGGAGGAGAGCAGACAAAAATGGAAGAGGGTGAATTTTTTGCAATTGAAACTTTTGCATCAACAGGTGAAAGTGCTTTGCATTTAGTGTTCTGGTGAAAAAGTAATGTTGGTCTTTCTTTTTCTCTGGCTAAGAAGAATAGATATGGTCATGTTCAGGGAAAGGATATGTCAGGGAAGATCTAGAATGCAGCCATTACATGAAAAATTTTGATGCCGGCCACATTCCTCTGAGGTTGCCAAGGGCAAAGCAATTGCTCGCAACGATTAACAAGAACTTTTCCACATTGGCCTTCTGTAGACGGTATTTAGACCGTCTAGGGGAAACCAAATATCTTATGGCATTAAAGAATTTGTGCGACACTGGTATAGTCCAGGTAATTCTCACGCGCCCGCCACATATTTTGAACTGGACGGATCTGTATTTTTTTGGGGGAAGGGACGAATTGATATCGATGCATGTGAAATCTTGCTAATTTTTTTTGCCCTGTTTTGCCAGCCCTATCCTCCCCTTTGTGATGTTAAGGGAAGCTACGTATCTCAGTTTGAACACACCATCTTACTGCGGCCAACATGCAAAGAGGTCATTTCCAGAGGTGATGACTACTGAGATGGAAGGACTTAAATTTTGTTGCTAGTGCATGGCGGCTGTACTATACTGAAAAATGAAGGGGAACAAAAAAAGATATGAACTTATTTATGCTTCAAATTTTCTACCTTATTTTTATGTTTGTTTCTTTCTTATTCAGTTCTATTGGACCGAATACTTGTACTACTCGTATGCTCTTTCTGTATTTAACATATGCTGATTAGAAGAGTTTAGAGGGATTCGAACACATTGACCTCTTTGTTCCTTTTCATCATTTTTTGTCTTGTTTATTTAGCCAAAAAGAAAGAAAAGCATAGAAATATTCCATCTTCTGAACTCATAGGCTATCGTTTGCCGTCTCGCCAAAATGATGACGTACTGCTCTTTTGAGCTAAGCTGCATGCGTTTAGGATTCCTTGCAAAGTTAGGCATAGCAGTATATTTTGTTCTTTCGTTGAGAGTGCCATTTTTCAATGGTAGAGAATGATGAGTGAAAAAAAGCGAATCGTCTCATAAGCCTACAAAGGTTTCGGAGGGTTTAGAATATTTGTAGTCAATTGTTCGAGTAAGAAATGGTTCATAAGGTTTTTTTTTTTTTTTTTTTTTTTTTTTTTTTTTTTTTTTTTTTTTTTTTCCTGTAATTTTATATTATCGGTCCATTCTAGCTTTAGATAGCTTGAGTTCTAAAAACAATCATGCCAACTGTGGTCATTCCTGTGACGGGCGGTTGGATTTGCTGTTTTCAGACGACCATGTGCAACATGCATGGTGTATTACATTTTAAGCTTAATGAAATTTCCTCTCTTTTTATCATGTCAATGGGGTATAAGGGATTTTTCATAAAAAGAAAAAAAGATATTCATATAATATTTCTAATCTTCTTTAAACCAACATGGTTTATTTTCGTTGTTAATGTTGTTTAAAAAAAAAAAAAAAAAAAAAAAAAAAAAAATTTTTTTTTTTTAATTTTTTTTAAAAAAAAAAAAAAAAAAAAAAAAAACAGAATGCACAAAAGTATCTATTTCTATCATCTATCTATTGCATTACGACTGACATTTTTGGTGAGAGTGTACGAAACGGTTGGTACATTTTTCTCCCCATATTTTTCCTCTCTTTTTTTCTTATCTTTGTTTTTTCTTGCCGATTTATTCTTCAGGAGTTTCTCCGAAAGGATGAGAAAAAATAAACTGTTGGTATTTCTCTATCTTTCAGCCATTAGATCTATATCAGAAACTCTTTGTTTTGTATATTTTTTTAATATGATGTGATTTTAACCAGATCTAATGGTTAAAAAATGACACTATTGCCAGGGAGACCCATTAAGAAAGTCCATTATTCTTTATTCTCAAATCTTTTTTTAGGAGTCTTTACAGTGAAGTGAGCTGTTTTGCTCCACCGATGAGGACTATTTTTATCGTTGGATTAATTTTTCATTAATCATATATGCAGTAAGAATAGTTTTTATGTGGCGTGCTGTAAATTTTTAATATGGATCTACACATATCAAAATATATATTTTTAAAATAACATTTTGAGCTCCCATTTTTTATCTATTTACATTTTGATCCTGAATAGGTACTTGTTCACACTACTTTGGATTGGAGTAGAAATTCAAGGTGAATTTAGCCATGAAGGGTTGTCTTGTATTGAACTCGTATGAGAAAATGTGGATATAGAATATGGCTTCAGAATCTAGAAAAAAAAAAAAAAGCAGCCATGAGTTGTTGCAGAATATATAGGCTTTCATTTGTAACATAATTGGAAACTTGGTCTTCCTAGAGCGAGAGTTGGGTCTATGCGAGTTTTATACGTAAATTAGACGAATCGAGTGTATTCTTTATATATATATATATACACACACATATATATTTACATATATTAAGTATAAAAGTTCTTCGTATGTGTTTTGTAATATGATTCTGCAGGATTGAAGGATGCCAATTCATACTCAAATATTTTGCAGCTAATCAGGATCAGTATGATAGTTTCATTTCACTGATCAACAAAAGAGAAATAAGAATCAAGTTGAAAAACATAAATAAATAAATAACTTATTCTAAGTCAATAGTACATTACACACCCATTATAAATAAGAATAAATAAAAGAAAGAAAGAAAGAAAGAAAGAAAACACATATAAGCTCTAGATAGGTGAAGGATGAGCAGGAACTCGTGTTGGCCAAGCAGGATGCACAAGCGGGAAGGTACTAAATCGCTCAAGTGAATTTACAGCTACAACCACCATCTCGGTAGTCTTTTCCCCTTCACATGACCATACAGGTCGGTAGACACCTACATTTATAGGTTCTCGAAGCTTATCGACCTTTTCATACATGTCTTCCATAATCTTATACTGGAAAACATATTTGTCCCATATCATAAAGACCACATTCCTGTTGATTGGATGAACAGCAAGCCCAACCATCCTCTTAGTACCGGGAGGCCTTTTCAAGTTTATCTCGTGAACTAAAACCCACCAAGTTGAATGATTCAATTCCCAAACTTTCAGAACAAAGCCCTCCTCATTTGTGTTGAAAATTTGCAACAGCTGCAGCTCTCCACATACAGCTCCCAAGTGTACTTTGCCATAGGAATTTTGCCATCCACGCACACAGTCATCAGGAAAGTCGATGACTCTACATTGATCATTGAACAAATCGAATGCAAACATTCTTTTAGATGAACGATTATCTTCAAGCCAATATAGAATTCCATTGCATGTAACAACATCAACGTAGTGGATAGCCCTGAGCACTTTGTCTTTTGGACATGATAAGACTGATTGGCTCCATTTTCCTGATTTAGAACAAAAGATTGACACCCGAAACTTATAATCCTCAGCATCTGTACCAAGCGAAAATTTATTCATTAGTACCACCTTGTATTGGTATTGAGCATTGATAGAGAATCCAACTTGTGATTTGCTACTGTCGGGGATGCATACTAATGCAAACCCACTTCGACGGCCTATAGGAGCCTCAGGGAGCTTAAACCACTGCTTCGTAAGCGGATTACAAATGTAGTAATCTCTGATATCACATCCACCAGGTGCCACAAGCAATAAGTCATCAAACGAGGCCCTTATAACCATAGGTGAAGGCATGAAGTCCAAATAACTAGCTGCTGCCTTTCCATGGAGAAACTTTGATTCCTCAGAGAATAGCTTACAAAATGTCTGAACACGTTGCATGTCAAACGCAACGTCGTCAGCTCTTCGGAATAAGATAGTGTAGGGTCTTGAGTAGCGATCTTGCTGATCATGATGGTGGCGAATGAAATTTGGAATAAATTTAGGTTGTGAAATCAAAGAATGCCAACGCTTACAAATAGAGCCAAACAGAATAGCAGATCGACAATTGGGAAGTCTAAGAAATATCTCAAGCAAGACGTCCTCATGAGCATTTTTCAAAAAATTGGATACTACAAGAAACAATAAGAAGAATTAGTTAGATTGCACACCTGAAAAAAGTATTCAACTCATAAACAAAAAATATGAGAAGGAGTTTCTACTTTCTAGATGTTTAACTTATAGACGAGATATACACAAACAACGACAACACGTCATCTACAAACAGAAACAAGAAGTCGGTAAGGAAAATCATGACATTACAAATTACTCTTTTGGAACTACAAGAGTCATATACAAATGATGTAACAAACAAATAGTAAGAAAGTAATCATATTAACATATTAATTTTGAGAACACACAAACAGAGTCTCAAGTAACATGTGTCAAAAGAGATTCGACATGGTCATTAATGCACACGATTACCTAGTTCAACATCGGGACATTCGTTGGAAGAAAAATCAGCTCCAACCTTAACCTTACGGTTTTTCCTCATCTTTCTCTCTTTGCGTTTGATGTTCGCCTTTTTCTTTCCCTGTCAAAAACATAAATATATTTACATATATAACAAAAACAATGAATTTTTTTATTTTATGGCATGATCTCGTAACAGTTCAGATAGATGAAACGTAAGTTTGAGACTAAACGATTTCTCTCAATACAAAAAGACGCACACTTTAAAATTTCCAACTCGTATTTTTTTTATATATATTTTGGGAGAGGGACAACTCATAAGTTTTAGGAATTAAAGGAAAAAAGATCGAAATTTCTTTTAAAGAACTCCATTTAAGCCAAAAAAAAAAATAGAAGCTTTTACAAAAGACTCAAAACTTTGAAATTTTCACATACAAAAGGCTCAAAACTTTGAAATTTTCAACTCGGATGTTTTAGAATTAAAGGACAAACATCAAACATTTAAAAAAAAAAAAAAGCTTTGAAGCCGAAAAAAAATTGAAGCTTTTATTTTCTGAGCAAAAGGAGTGGAACTTTGTATGACATAATGTCGAAGAACCTTCGGAACAAAGAGATCAAGCATATAACTTTGAGATCTGATGCATAAAAATTCTCAGAATGAAGAAAATAATCAATAAAACGAACTCGATTCATTATTAAGCGAAAAAATAGAAGGGAAATAAAACCTTAATCAAGATAGAGCGAGCCTCAACCTTTTTCACCATAACCGCATACCAAAAGTGCCTTTTGGCTTAGTTTGGTAGTGCTGTAAAAAATTAATTTTAGTTATGTTGAAAAAAAAAATAATTATTATAAAAATTAGTTGAGTATTTAATAAATTATAATTATAATAGCTGTATTAGTTCTAAAATAAGTGTAATAGCGTTTGATAAATTATGAGATTAAATTACTGTGAATAATTAAAAATTACGATTATGTTATATTATACTATAATATAATATATATTTATTATTATATTTAATATAATACAAAAAAATTATTATTATATAATATATTACATAATTATGATATAAAATATAATAATATTATTAAAATAATAAATGAAATAATTAAAATTTACGAT